CACCACAGACAGAGACCTGTTTTGCAAGGTTTAACATGCTCTGGGCTCTGCTGTGGGCTCTTCCTCTTTTGCTGCAGCTGTGGTTTTTTAGGGCAGGCTTTGTGGGTTTGAGAGAGTCCTTGGATGCCTTGGGAAATGCTCTGCAAAAGTGGACTTTCTCTCCATGCATTCTGCACTCCAGCCACCAGGTCCTGACATCTCCATGCAAGGGATTTACCCTATGTGATGAATATGAAACCTACGTGCCTTTCAGGCACAGGTTCTCTGTTATGCTTGTAGTGCCAGGCACAGAAACAGGACAACAAGGTGCACCCCCTCCTGTGTCAGCAGAAGCTCTAATTCAGCCACAACACTGCCTCAGGATGCTCTGAACAGGCTAAGAAACTCCAGCTCACAGCCACAGCAGCCCTGGGCATGGCTGGTGTAAGCTGCTTTGCCACAGCTTTAGACAGAGTAAGATCTTACCCACTATCCCTAACGCCTCTGCCCAGGACACAGGAGAAGCAATACTAACTTGTGGAAAGTAAGGGAGAGGTTGCACCAAGTAATCATGACACAGAAACACTCTCTGCCTCTCCTGTGCTTGTCCCAGTTACTCAGGAGGGAAAGTAACTGGGTTAGGAGAGCTGAGGATTAGCCTAACACACCTGGGTACCACCCACTGCTTCAGAGGCTCCAGCTCAGTTCTGTGACAAGCTGGGTGCTTGACAGCAGCATCCCTTTGAAATGCTGGGTATAGGGCTCACCTTGGAAAAGCCTTCCTCCAGCACAGGGTGATTGTCCATATGCATGAAGACAAGCTTCCCGGGGTGGGCTGGGGCAAGAAGGGGATGGATCGGGTGGAAAAACGCTTCTGCTGCAGCACAAGACTTGCCTGTGCTCCTCACCAGCTAAACAGCAACCTGGCCTTATGGAGTCAGAGCAGCCTTGAGGTGGCTCTGAGCAGAAAGCACACAAATGCTATGACAGAAGCCCCCAAACAACCCACAGAGCACCAGAAACACCTTGCAAGGTTTAGAGCACAGCTGTGCACCCTTGTCTATCTGTATGGGAAACGGGAGCCGTAGCTCCCGATGGCAGAGCTGGCACCATAGGAACAGAGAGGGAGGCGAGATATGTGGCTGAGGAATTCGCAGCCTTCACGTTCCCTCTCTCCCACCTCCTCCTCTCGCAGGACATAAAGAAGCCTCTTTTGTGGCAGGAGGATGGTTGGGGTGCAGGCGTGAGCGTGAGCTGGGGCAGCCGGGCTCCTGCACACACACGTGAGCTGGAGCAGAACCAGCCATGGGCATGGCCGCTGATGCTGCTGCCCTCACTAGGGCTTGAGCATGGAGCAGTGGGCAGCGGTGCCAGTTCTGCCTGGTGTGAAGGAGGGAGGTTTATGAGGGATGGCACATGGCCTCCTCTCTGCTGCCATCCTGCTGTCCGAGCACCACAGCCCTCATCTCCATGGAGCAAAGGGAGCTGGGGGTGGGATAAGAACTCAGTGGTGTTGCCTTTCTCTCCCAGCGTGTGCAGCATGGACCCTGTTCCTCATGGAGAAGACGGTGCCAATGCCAGACCCATGCTGGCACCGCATGGGGTAAGTTCACCTCCAAGAGGGTCTCCTTCAGCCTCTGTTTCCACAACAGCCAGTACAAAAGGACACTGCTTTCCCCCATCCCCACTGAATTACCCAGCATACCTGCACCGCCAATGTCCTCTCCATGGGATGCTCAGGCAGGACTTGCATGGCTTTAGATCCCACTTCTGTTCACACCTCCCTGCTCACAGTAGAAGTCTCCTCTTGCCATGCTTGCTCCTGAGTTAGGTGTTGGCAGCAGGAGGGAGTCCCGAGCACCCTCCTTCTACAGCTGAATAGACCAGGATGCCTGCCTCAGCTCTGCCGCACTGAACAGGTCCCACCATCCCCCGAGAGCTTTTACCACTCTGGTCCTCAAACACACAGCACCAGCCCAGCCCCTGGCACCTTCCTCTCAGGTGAACACAATGGATCCCCATCATGTGCCATGGATTTGTCCCTGTGAGTGTGGGGGAATACCCAGTTTCCCAGCAGCAGCAGAACAGTCCCCTCAGAGATACCACTGTCAACATGAGAGATAAAACACATCAGAATAAAACCTATTCAAAGCCATCACGGTAAAGACAAACCCAGCTGAGAGGAAGGGTGGAAAACTGGGGACTGAGAGGAGTAAAGAAAAGGGCTGTCCCGAGAGTCCTGTTGGGAATTGACGCCAGGATGTTATAATCAGCCAAACTGTAAAGACGCTTTTGGCACCAAGAGCCAAGATCCACTTTCTTGAATAGCACCGAGCCCATGTCCACATCTGGGTCAAAAATAACCCCTGCACCAATAATAATTTACTCTGCTTGTTTTCCATGGCACCAAAGACTTTGGGTGAAGGAAAGGAATTGCCTGAGAAGGTGGGAATCTCCTGAGTGACAGAAACATTGCACCACACCAAAGGAAAAAAGGAGAATGTGTTGAAGAGAATTAAGAGATTGGGCAAGTAGAGTGCAATGTGAGACGGTTCTGAAATCTACCCACGTGTTACACACACAGTACATAAGGTGGGAGAGAAAAAGAAGAGTAAATAAAGAAGAATGCAAGAAATAAGAGTGTGTAAAGCCTGCTCAGAGATCTAAGGATTAAAAAGAAAACCTTTAGTAGAAATGGAAAACAGGGAGGCGACCAAACAAGAATATTCAGTCAGTTAAGGCTTGCAGGGAAAAGATAAGGGCAGCAAAAATGCAGAATGAGTTAATTATAGCCAAAGGGATTAAGGAGAATAAGAGGCCTTCTACAAATATATCAGGGGAAACAGAAGCAGTAGGTAGAAGGTGGGTCTGTTAATAATAGGTCAAAGTGGGATGGAAAATAATGAAACAAGGGGACAAATCATGCCAACAGCAGTGTGGGCATCTTCCTGTTACCAGCCGGCCCGAGACCTCCGAGCCAGCACAACAGGTCCATTGGCTGAGACTGGTTTCAACTCAGAGACTCCCCATCCATAAGGACAGCTCTGAGCTGCCATCCCAGCAGAGCTGGGTATGGAAACGTGCCACGGGTCTCCCCATGCGGTGCCTGACACTTTCCCTGAAGAAATCAATGTATTTTCAGTGATTAGTTTGCCTCAGCTCAGCTTCTTGTGGTGGAGGAGGCTGGAGGAAGCACATAACGCTAAGGTTGGGCCATATGTGTGGTGCAATGGCCTTGAAAGGAGACCTGGTTAAAACACACCAGTGGGTGATGAACTGACTGACCAGCTATGGGCTTCTCATCAACTCTTGTGCTAGGTTATTTCCCCTCCGCCTCACTCACCCCCTTGAAAGCAACAAGAATAGCCTGCAGCAAATCCCCGCGGCTGGAAGCAGGGGTTGGCAAGCAGCAGGACTTTGCAACGCTTGCACCTTGCTGATTCTGTGGGCCTGATTCTCACCTCCTAGGAAATTTTGGGAAAGAATTTTAAGTATTTCAGACCCGCACACATTCCTGCTGCCAGGATTCCCGCTTTCTCCCTCCCCAGAAATAGAACTTGGCTCCAAATCCCAGGTTTCCCTCTCAGTTCCTATAAAAACAAGAGGCTTAGTTAGGAAAACTACAGACTATTTGTGTTTTCTCAGAGGCAAAAAGGAATTGTCAGGAGATAGAAACTGTTTGCCCAGCCCTTTCACAGGAGGAAGCCCATCGCTCTCCTGCCTGCCTCTGGGCGCGTTTTGCATACTGGAGGCTTTCCTTGAACAAGACCCCTCAGGCACCCTCCAGCCCCATCTGCCAGGGAGTCACGCAGGGAGACAAAGGGCCAGCTCCTTTGTCTGGGGAGACAAGGTGCCAACCTGCCTGTCTCTGTTTACCAAAGGGAGGGATGTTAGCAGGGTGAGAATGGGGGGCTGGGACCATCGCTGGGGCGGGGGCCATTTGTCCTCTATTCCCGGCTTTCAGGCGCTTTCCCCTCCCTGCTGTCTCCCTCTGATTTCCATGTCTTGCCAGTTCGGCTTTTTGAAATGCTTTAAATAGTTATTTAGGAGCCTGCTGCTTAAAAAGAAAGAAGGAAATAGACAAATAGGCTCTATTTCTGCAAGGATAACCAGGGAACAGCCTCACAGCCGAAACTCCTGTGAGCTAATTCCCTGCAGCTTCATCTACTAAAGATACAGGGTTCTTTGACCCATGGATAACCCCATGGAAAGGTGGATGCACACAGACAACCCATACCTTGTCCTTTACTCAGTGCTTGCCTTTTCCTGCATCCCTACCTGGTCACTTACAGAGAGCAGTGAGGTGATGCTGGGAGCCCGATGGTTATACCGGTAGCTACTGTGCCCATAGACACTGGTTTGGGGATGGGAGCTGCCTGCTCACGGACAGTTTTCACTAGCACGATTTTCTACCAGCGTGTATCCCTGCATGGTGCTGAACCAGGATAGTCTGGATCAGGCAGGAAGGCGGATGAAAGCCCTGCACTCACAGAGGCCTTCCCCTAGCGAGCATAACGTGTACCTGCTGCACATCCATGACAGCACCATGCACCCAGCCACACGTTTGCACAATGAACCACATCAGAAATGGACAAACTCAAACAACAAAACGCATGGGACACCAGCACTGGGGACTTTCCTTCTATACTCATCCTGCTTACCTCAGAGAACACATAAATGCCAAAAACCAGTCAGCCTTCCTCCCTTTTACCTATGTTGCACATTACAGGGTGAAGCCGGTGCTCTCTGTCTCCCTGCTGCCCCTTTGCACTATCAACCCAAATAAGTAAAACTGCACAAGGAAAGAGAGGTTAAAAAGCAAGCACTCCACAATAAAAGCCAGGTAATACACTGTCCTTTACAGAACTTCCTCTTACACCATCCATTCTTTCACAGCATGATCTCTGTTGGGTGTTAGAGGGAAAAGGGCGGTAGAGCCCAAACCAAGCAGCATCAGCAGAGAAAGCAGCAGCCGCAGTGGCAGGCAGTGCTTTGAATGATCTCATGAATCAGCCGTGACATTATCTACAGTGAAACGCCTGGGAAGGGGTTTCCCATATCCTCCCCTGACCTGGAAGGTTGAATCCACAGGGGCCTGAAGGGCATTTTGATTGCCAAAGACAAAGGCTAAATCAGAAGGAAATGATATTTTATTTAACCTCTGCATCAGGGAGGGGGCCCGAGGGGAGGGTAGAGGCAGCGGGGCGGTGACAGGGGCGTGTGGATAACAGGGGCATTCAGCACAGATCGCTCAGTACCATATGGGCTTCCACTAGAGCAGCATGTCCCATCAAAGAGCCGGTTTCCCTCCCCATGCTGTCAGAGGCTGCCGGAGGAGGGCAGAGCCCTGCGCACAGCCCAGCCTGCTCTGCCATCCTATCCTGCCGCTCGGTGCCAATATGGAATTTCCTTTCGGGAAAGGGCTGTGATAATTGTCCCTCCTATTTACACAGCGCTTTCCAGACAACGTGCCAGACGCTGCAGCCCTTATACAGGCAAAGCTCCCAGGGACACCCTGTCTTGGCTCAGAAGCCAGCGAGGGCTCCAAGAGCTGGGTGCTAGGCAGGAGCAGGCAGCAGGACTGCAGACGGGTTGGTGCAGGGACCAGCTCTCCCGTAGGAGCCCCATTCCCAAAGTGTGACTGGTGGCCATAAAAGAAATCAACATCAAAAGGGCTTTGGAGTGGTGGGGTGGGGTGGGCTTACCTCCTTGTTTACATGGCATTAGAGCTACAAAGGCTTTAAATGCCTTCCCGACATGACATTCCTGTAGGAAGCTGCTGTAGATGTCCCGAGGACTCAGGTGATGTTGGGTGGGTGGGGAAGGGCTGGGTGGGAAGGCAGGGAATGCAGCAGTGCCCCTGAGGCAAGGTAGGGCCCATACCACCCTGGGTGGTGGGCTTTATGCAATAAGGCCCTGGAGGAGGGGTGCGGGCCAAGGCTGCACGGTACAACCTGTAGTGCCAGCAAGGTGAGGCTGGGTGGTGGAGTCCACTCTGGTCTTCCTCTAATGATGCTCTCAATGCAAGGCAGATAAGGCTCATATCTGAACATCTCCAGTTGTTCTCTGAAGCACAGCCTTTCCAGGACTGTTCTCTCCCCATTTGTAGCCAACCCAGAGACACAAAGAGGGTGGATCAGAGAACCAGAGGTGTGAGAAATGGCAAAGACCTTCACTTGGGATCATTTCCTCTGGTGTTTCATCAGGCTCAGTAGGCATACAATGGCACTTTATGGCTTCCTTTGGGAGCTGGATTCTGTAGCTCTTAGGCGCCCAGGAACAGGTTGTGTTTTGCCAAATTTCTGTTTCACTGTGAGCAGAAAATAGTCATGGATGTCAATATGAATTTTTACAAGTGCAAAGGACTTAGAAGTGACACCCCCTTCCCTCCTTCCCACAGCACCAAAATATCACACGCCAAAGATCCTCCTGCTGAGAGCTGAATTCCCTCTTCACGCAAAGTTCAAGGACTGAGGCTTGTTCCAAGCATTTCTATTTCAGACTCTTGGTCTTTGACCAAATCATCACATTTCAGGCTTGTGCTGAAGACCTGAGGACCATATTTGTTTGTACTCCCTTTGCCCTCAGGGGCCCAGCCACAGCCCCCCTGTAGGAGATGCACAAAGGCAGCAGGAAGCCTCAGCCTGCCCTAAGCATGTTCCCCAGATACATGTTCTCTTAGAGGTCCTGGGTGCTTTGGGAGCAGGTCAAGCACACACCAGTTCTCCAGCTCTGCTGTGCAGGGAACCTACAGCACCAATTGATCTGTGGGGAGCATGACCCAAAGCGTCAAAACAGGGCCTTTAACATTGTGCACTGCCACCAAACCTGTTTGACTGAATTGCAGGTTAAAAAGGCATTGTGCCTATAATTGTTGGGCTTTAGAGAGCCTGTCTTTTCCTTTAATGAAATACCTTGCTCATTCCATTCGAAAAGGAACCAAAGACTTCTCAGGTTTATGATAAAGCTGTAAAAATTTTATTTACCCCATATTTCCTGCTGGGTTATTTACGAGGCATTTTGTCAGCTCTCATAAAACTGCCTTGTAAAAGAGATTTTCTTACCAAAAAAATAAAATCATTTGTGCGGAACATCTTGAGAGCAGCGAGGACAGAGTTAATGGGATACACACACGTTCCGACCCTGGGAGAAAACAAAACAGAACCAAAGCCAGGCATTGTTGTGCTGCATTAGTTAATAATAGCTTTAGAGCTAAAATCCTGCTCCCACTGATGTTACTGGAAGTTGGTCCTTAATGTAAAATAATCAAAGAACCAGCTGCCATGAATTGTAGAGCCCCCAAATGAACCTGGAATGCATCAAAGCACCCAGAAATCACACTTCTCCCATTGGGATTTCACCAGAAACACCAGCTCAAGAACTTTCCCTTTAAAACATGGTGGCTGAGATTTGTGTAAGTGGTGGATGGATGCAGAGCATCGCTCAGAGCTGGAACCCAAGGGTGGGTGGTTGTAATACAGTGGCTTTTACCTAGTTAAGGGTCAACACTTAATCAATGAAGCTCCTTGACGCAACCCTGAAGGAAATCCCATGTTGGTCATTGCTGTCAAATGAAGAGCCTGGGCAGAGGAGGAGCAGAACTCACCCTCTCCAGCCGCAGCTGGAGTACATTTGCCTCTCTTGGAGCTCAGCTTTTCAGTTCCATGTCACATGTTTGCATCTGCTCACTTCTCCTTGGTCCAAACTTGTGCATCCTTCCCCCAGCAGTGCTTGTTCCCTAATCCCAGTGGGAACCTTGGAGCACTAAGTTTGTGGTGCAGCATTACCTCCAACACCCTTCATTTCAACCCTTGCAGCTTCACTCCAACCGCTCTTACCTCTTATAGATAAGCGGGACACAGGTAAAAAGCCCTTTCCATGTGGCTTGGCCTGGCTCCCTCAGGAGCCCAGCAAAGGTATTCTAGCTTGGAGGCACCAGGAATATAAAGGAAGCAAGAAAACAATGAATAAAAGTAAAAAAAACAGAGAAACGGGGAGGGTTGTTTTTGAAACAACAAGAGCTGGATGCTGGGAAGCGGTCAGAGGTCTTTTGTTCTGCGCCTGTACAGCGCTTAGCACAACACAACCCCAAATTACAGCTGAGCTCCTTGCTCCTGCTGCTGTGCACAAGTAAAGCAGCAGCAGCCCAGTGTGGGAAACAGGCAAGGAGCCAGGTTTGCAAAGGTATTTAAGTGTGTAAAGACACAGGGGGATACTTACTTACGGATGCTGGTAGAGGTCCTGTTTCCTATGGGAGCTAAGGCTCACAGCACCAGCTTTATCAGTGCCACCAGGTGCTACCTGTGTCTTTGGGTACAGGTAGAGCTGGGTTTACCACTCCTCTCCTTCATACTTGTTTCTTAAAAGCCACTCTTACCATGGGGTTGCTCTCCTATGTGTCAGCAAAATGCCTTTTGCCTTGCAAGGTCCTGCCTCTATCACACATGGCAGCATTTAGCAATATGACAGCTCCGTGCTGCTTTGGGCGTGCACAGTGCTTGGGATGTACCTTCCTTTTGCACAGCTGTGTTTGGCAAGGGAGGCAGGAGGTATCTGGGTGACCCTGGGGCCTGGAGCTGGCCAGAAATCCCCCTTGGCCTGCTGATGGGGAGGGAAAGGGGGAAGCTGCTAAACTGAGCAGGGGTGGCTCCCAGGGAACCAGGGAGCGCTTACATCAAGTGGGATGTACCAGACCTGAGCTTCAACAAGCAGCTCAGGAGCTGGCTGTGATTTGAACAGGCAGTTTAACCAAACTGGACCGAATTTCTTTCAGCTCAGCCCTGCCACAAATGTCTGATCCAACAGAAAATGTGCTCTGCAACTGAGAAGCCCTCCCTAGGCTGCACTAAATCCATGACACCAACCCAGCAAGCACATTCCAGTTGGACTCACCTGGAACATCCATCAGCTGTCTAGAAATAAACACAGAGGTACTCCAAAGCAGGGAATGTTGAGAGGAGAATTGTGTCCAAAGGCTCCCTGGATGTGGCTCTGAGGGCTGAGTGGGTGGAGATGGAGAAGGAAAGCCATTTCTATTCCAGATATCAAACAAGCTCTCAGGGAAATTCCTTCTACAGCTAAATTCATTTAAAAAGAAAACACCTTTGCCTCCCAGCTTTCAAGAGGTTTTGGCATCCTTTACAGCCAGCACAATCAGTTGTTCCAGAATCAACATTTTTGGTCACTGACTGACAAGGAAGGGCTGCTTTGCCTCAGTGCACCAGGGAGAAACCAGCAGACATGTAGCAGACTCCTTATTTGCACTGGTGGGACTAACGCTTAGAGAAAGGTGAGCTGGCAGGATGTTAGCATACTGCACGCTCTGACAAAGTCCTGGTGATGAGAGAGCCGCTGGCCTCCAGAGCAATCAGTTCAGGGGGAGAGTTTCTGCTCGTTCCATCAGACCACTGCTATTAATGGGGCAAATTCCAACATTAAAATGACAAAAATCATCTCCCTGTGCCCCAGGCAGGCATCAGAACATCGAGTGCTTGAGCTCAGAGGCTGGCATAGGTGTTGTCCCTAGGAGGGGAAGCATAAAGAGAGGTGGAGAGTGGAGATGTGCAATAGCACACACTGAGGTCTCTGAAAAGCTGCTGCCGTTGACGGGGGTCCTTGGCAAACGACTCCAACCCTATCAGCAGCCGTGAGGCTCGCAGCTCCCTTCTCTGCAACAGGCTGTGTGATTTCTCTTCCCTGCTGCCAACTGGCATCAGTGACCAATTTATTTGCATTGAACACAAAGATCCGGGTTGTCTGAAGCCAAGCAGGACCCTCACCGAGGGAAGGCTCTGAGCTATTTAATAAAGTTTAGAGACCAGAGGAGCATCCAGGCTTTCCCACCATAGGAGGAGAAGATGAAATTCTTTAATTGTTTGTGTTTGAGTGAAACTCTTATAAAAAGAGGATTTGGGATTCTGAGGAAGCTTTAGAGGCGAGTCTGACCTTAAGCCGTGTTTCTGCACAGCATCGCACGCTCTCACACTGCGCTCCCAGCACCCACTCTGGGAACTCAGCCCTCACGCACATCCCCCTTGCTTAGGCAACATGGAGGGTCTCAGGGAGTCAACAGTTATGTTATCCTAAGGTTAGTACAGGACCTTTTGGAGCCTGTGGTCCGGGCAGCTTAAAGGAAGCTGTGTCTCTCATGGGCAGACCAACACACAGATGCTCTGCAGTCTGTTACAGCTCAATTCTCCAGTTACTAGAAATCACAGTGGTTTGGATCCCAGACTACTTTTCTCACTGGATTATCTCCCTATCCCCAATTTGAGTACATCTGTCTCATTGTAGTCCACAGGGTCCTTTTATCGCAGTGCTCAGACTTCTCCAAAGAGCAGTAAAAGGAATAGACAAATCAAGTTTAGCGTGTGCATCTGGCTTCGAACAAGAGATCTCATAGGACATGCAATGCTCATACTTTTGCCCTCATTCAGGACTGAAGTGCTGTGAGCCTGGTAAGTTGGCTGCTATTTGGGCCTGAACAAGGTCCTACCTGCTTGTGATTCAGCCCAAATTTGGAACTGACAGCCACAACATGAGGTGTAGGAACACAAGCAGAGCAGCCACCAGCCCAGATGCATGCTGGAAATGAGAGCTGAAGGATCTGGATTTCCTAAACCACAGACAACCTCATTAATATGGTAGTCAGACTATGTGGCATCTCTTCATCCTGATAAAACCAAACTAGTTTGGGGTGTTGTTGGGATTTTGCTTTAAATTGATAGATACAGGGGCCACTGAGGGCTGTTTTAATTTCTTAAACCTTGAAGATTCTCTGCTTTTAAATCTCTGCCTTCCACCCTTCTTCACCTCTCATTCACAAGTCACTCTAGAGATGATGAAGTGCCTCTCCCTTACAGGTTCTATGAATTCTGGTGTCATTCTAAATATCATAGCTCTGGGTAGAGCATATCATCAAAGCTGTAGCACAAGCATAGGCCTGAGGGTGAAACACAGAACAATCCCTTTGGCTCAAAAGATGCCAAGTTATTTGGCATTTGGCCCCAAATGCCACCTGGGATGGTGTAAATCTCGCTAAGGAGACCATGTAACCAAACTGACAATAGCAGAAGAAGTGATGGCAGGAACGACTGGTTACCTTTTTACCCCAAATGATCCCATTTTTACCTGCTATATCTCTATGGGGAATAACTAAAGAGACTGGGGCTTTTCAGTCTAGGAAGTAAAGCGAGAGAATACACCAGAGGTCTATAAACTGCTGTGTGGTGCTGGCAAAGGTGAGTTGGGAACAGCCCTTGACCACCTTTCCTAGCCACTGGGGAAGCCAGGAGGAGGCAGAGTCAGCACAAACAGCATCTGGGCAGCAAACCTACAGCCTGGCCCCACTGAGTCTCTGCTTTGAACTAACGCTAAGGAGGGCTACCAGCCCTAGCAAGGCCTACTGAAACAAGCACCAAATCTCTGCATGCTCAGCTGAAGGTCTGGTTAACGACAGGGAACCTTTGTAAGAGGCCTTGAGATGTTCAGCAGCCAGAGCATGGCACAGCTTGCTTCAAGTTCTCATGCTGCAATCCTGGTTTCACCACTATTTTATCATATGGCATTAACAGAACACATCTAACTGAGGGCTTGGAGCACGATGGGTGTCAAACCAGCAGCAGCCAGGGGCCTGTAGTCTAAAATTCAGCTCAACTCTTCAGCTTCTAGAGAAGAACGACAGTCTTTGCCTCTGGTACTGCAGGAGGACAGGACTTCACCCAGTTAATTGTACGTATTTGATTCACCAAGTGTTAATTGTGCATGTTTGGTTGTGCAGCCCGAGTAGATTAACCCCAGCGTCTCAGGGTAAGCTGGCAGAGGGCAGAACCATCTGCAAAGTGGGAAATGGGAGCAAAGAGGGAAGAAGTTCAGGGTTGTGCTCTGAAAGAGAATGCAAATCTTATTTATTTTTCCTAGTCTTGGGCTCCGGTGCCAGGCTTCTTGGGTTCGACACCTCCTGGAACAGGAACAAACCCAGCCCCATCTCAGGAGCTGGCTAAGGAATGCTCAGGCTCACTTGGTTAGCTCTATTTCTGAGACAGAAACAGCAATCTTTCTACTTTCAACATCAATAACACCAGTTATTCTCCCAAAGAATTATTATCAACAATTCCTTTGCTATATTTACAAAGAAGCAGGGCTATTCTTAGAGGAAACACTAAAAAAGCCATTTTATTTCGCTTTCTTGGCAGTTAGACAAAAATGTAAGGAATGTAGTCAGTTAAAAACATCAAATCCCCAGCACGAGCCTATAAGAGCTTTCTAATGCATATTTACAATATAGAAAGCAGCCACTTTCCTGTTTTGTAGAACAAACAGGGAACCTTCTCTTTTCTTCCTAGCTGTTCCTGAAGACCAAACATCAAGTTGGACATGGAATGCTGCTTTTAATGGTGCGGGTTGTAAACTTTTAATGCCTAGAAAATGGGACTTAATGCTACAGCCTGCTTTCCCTAAAAAGGAATTAGAGGCAAATTTTACTGCTGGTTTTAGGGAAGTTCTCAATTGGCAGCCCTGGGTATCTAAATACTCCTTTAGCCACAGTTTGGTTTGCCATAGGGAACAGCAGTACTAGCAGAGCAAGGGCTGCTCGGGTCCTACAGTACCGCTGGTGGCACTGGGGGAAAGCACTGTGTTCCCACAGGGACCCAGCTCAGTGCGGGGACACTGGGATTTGGGAACAGAAGGAGGGGACCTGTTCCCATACATGCAACAGCATCTCAGCTTCTGAATGTCATCAGGAAAACCTCTATCTTAGGGGCATTACTTACTGCTTAGGAAGGAGACTGTGGTGCAGCCAGGTCCCAGCTTCCCTGCTGACACTGAAAGCAGACAAACAGAAGACATGAGTTATTGGGGGGTCAATGAGTGCACCTCTGACGTGGTGAAAAAGGACAAACGTTACCAATGGTACTTGTATTGCACAAAGCCCCAGAGATGCCCAAATGGACATGACAATACCTCCTTTAAAGAGCAGTCTATTCCATGGGTAAATGAAGAAACTCAGTCTTTTGTGATTCTGCGTCTATTTCTCTCATGTTTACCTGCATTGGAGGCCTCCTGGTCTCCTGAGACAGCTTGACGTTGAAGATCTGGGAAGGTTTCAGATCCCATTCCCCAGACTTCAAATGATCTCAGGTCTCCCAGGCTAGAGAGAGACTGGAATTGTACTCCCCTATCCTGTCCTCTGAACCGCATCACTGTTGCTATTCTGTTGCTAGCAAGCCTGTTGTTTAAGATGTATTTTCAGTGGGTTCCTCCTGAGCCTTCCTCAGGGAGGTGATAAAATTGCCTTTGAAGCACTGTACAAGTTTTTGCTTTCACAACCAATATTCATTGCACTCAGTGAATTTCTCCAGATTACTATTTCATTAAACAAGATAATGACCGAAAAAGACAAAATCCTTCCTTGTCCTGCACTGAATCAGTGCTCTGAAACTGGAAATGAGTTTGGTTTCCTTTGCCCAAACAGCATTGGCCACAGCCCTGAGAGTGTCATCCTGCTGCCAGCCAAGAGGGCAGCCTGACCCTGCAGCTGGACACAGGTATGTCACAGTCATCCCACAGCACAAGCAGCCAGGCTCTGACACGTCAGCCCATCATGGTGCCCTGACACGTCAAAAGCAGCAGGAGAGCAGCTTGGCTCCCCCAGCCGTGCCATGGCACAAGGCAATGCCGGCTCAGAATGAATCCTAAACCAGCCCATAATCACACTGCAGTGAAGGGACATTGCCATGGGGAGTAATTTGCTCCTTGTGGCAAATGATGCAACCCCAACCATGATTTCGATGGGCTTTTGTGATCTGTCCCATAGCCATATGCTTCTCTTTCTGTTTCAGAGCCATCAGAACCAAACAAGTCCTCAACTGGAGGAAACCAGGCGAGGGAACGACCACACTTGAAGCAAGCGAGAGGAAACTTGTTGTGCCTTTGGCTGCCATTCGCTGTCATGTAACAGTCAGCATTGTAGGAAGTGTCAATAAGATACCAACAGGGTAAACAGTTGTCAGACAGATTTTCACAGAGGCAGTTGACTGGACCATGGCTGCTTTGTACACAATGCCAACTCAGTGTCATTCCTAATGGGGGAATTTATACAGCGTAATTATGCCAGAATTTGCTCCAGGCTGCACACTGCTGCATTATAAACCTGGCCATTGCCATGTGATTAGTCAGAGCTTTAAATAACACTGAAAGTAATTATATCAAGCAAGAGAAGAGAAGTGATGCATTCCAGAGCTTGCCACATACGGGCCCCTGAAGGGGTTAGCTATGGATGGTGGTGTCCCCTTTATTGCTGGAAGTTTTGATACCTTAGGCCACATCCTGATCACCTGACACACAAACAGCTTAAGGACCCTCTTAGTCTGGCCCCTGTAATTATGGAGCAAAGGGGACTTATATGAGGTGTGATAAGATTCCCGGATGATTGGATGTAGATGCATGCGATTGAAATGCAAAGAGCATGGAGGCTGCCTCGCATAGCAGCACATGGCCAAAGGGGCTTTGCATCAGAGAGATCTGGCTGCGTGCTTGCAGGCATACAAGGATGTCAGGCACCCTGTCATCAGTGGCCTGAGGGTTAAGGGCTGCTCCAGAGTTGCTCTAGCTGCAGCTAAAGGGCAGGTATTCCTCTGGTGGCACTGAAAAGAGTAAAGCTCCTCCAGTTCTACATGAGCATGGTGTCACATCACCAGTGCTCTGCAAAGGTGAGGGCTCCATCTTCCTGTGAGGGACAGAAGAGGGATCATAGAATCGCATAAGGGTTTGTGCTGGAAGGGACCTTACAGCTCCTCCAGCTCCAACCCCTGCCACGGCCAGGGACCCCTTCCACTGGAGCAGCTTGTTCCAAGCCCCTGTGTCCAACCTGGCCTTGAACACTGCCAGGGATGGGGCAGCCACAGCTTCTCTGGGCACCCTGTGCCAGCGCCTCAGCACCCTCACAGGGAAGAGCTTCTGCCTAAGAGCTCATCTCAGTCTCCCCTCTGGCAGGTTAAAGCCATTCCCCTTGTCCTAAGAGAAAGTGATGGCTGGATTAAGGGGGAGCAGATCACAGAGCTATGCAATGTTCCTACTTTGCACTTACTGTCAGAAGAGCCCTAAGCAGCTGGCATCCACAGATCCCCATTTCCCAGAGAAAAAAACCCAGATCCTTTGCTTTCCAAGTCATGCTGAGCTTCAGCCCTGTGAGGGGGACAAAGCTGGCTGATACCTCCCTTGCTCTAGCTCTGGTCCCTCAGGGCTGTTACAGACTATTCCAGTTTGCAGCAGCT